TATGGTGCTACCGCAACCCTACTTTCTATTATACCTCTTCTCCATGCAAACCTTCAAGACTTAAAAGTCTATTTTGTTAATTTATTTATGTAACAAAAAATGGTATTATTTCATATACACGTCACTTAACCGATGTCAGAATATTATTTCTTCTTTCAAGCGGAGTTTGGTGCAACTGCAAAAACGAATACATCTTCTAGTTCTATTGCTAAAATGAGAGTCAGCCATGGTGGATCGTTCGAACAAGTACATGTACATGTGAAACGATCAGGGGTCAAAGTTAAAAATACCACTGCGCAAGCGTGACAAAAAAAACCCCAAAAAACAAAAAAACACGGACGACGCGCGACGGGCGACGGGCGACGGAAAATGGCATGTTTGGAATTGGTAAATGGCAGAATTGGGACACAACAAAAAGCAAAAGGGGAAGGGAGACGGGTGACGGGCGACAGCCGACGGGTGACGGGCGACAGCAGATATGGAATTCCATACACAAGTCTCATTGCGGGTCGAAAATCTCCGAAATGCCTTACCTCTGCAGTGCGCGTGCAACAAACCTACTGTACTAACCGAAGCTATAAATTACATACCTAAGGACGACACAAGTAGAAGGGTGCATCCTACAAACATCGGCAGATGAAAGCCAAACCTGTGATGAAGACAAGTAATATCTTCCATTCACAATCTTTATAAACTTTCACTTTAGTCCCACAGTTTTTGTCTGTATGTCGCTCGTGCATGAGCAGTGTTTAAGTCCGGTCACCAGAGTCGCCGTCCGGCTCACATCAGGACCGAGTCCGGGCCTTGAGTGACTTGCCTCGAGTCCAGGTTTTGAGACACTCAGTCTCAATCCTTGTTCAAAGCCCAAAGTTACTCACTTCTAGTAGTTCGAGTCCTGGGTCATTTGACTCATGTCCCAGGTGGAGGTCCTGATGAGTGACTTCCGTCGAGTCCCGGTGCCGAGTTCCTATACATTCACTGTTGAAGATGCTGATATTTAAGCTCATAAGCATGTACAGGTATTAGCATAAAGTACTTTAGAACTTAAAGTACAAAATAGTTGATCTTAGTCCTATGCATGGTAAGTTATGCACTATGAAAAGGACACATGCGCTTAGGAGCACGGTCGCAGTGCTGGCGGCTGTAGAAGTTCTAGGCTTGTAATGAAGTGAGGCTTTAAAGTAAAACTTAAGGTATATCTTTATCATTTTTGATCAATAACTTTTGTTCATCGTGATGAAAATATGAATCAATTTGTAAATAAATTGAAAAAAATAAGTCGACATTTTTAAGGAGTGGTTCTCGCTCCCTAAAAAGCTATGTCCGACACAAGGGGTCTTTTTGAAACCCTGCCTTCGTGTCGTACCTTGCTGAGGTTTGGTGCATGTTCTGCTTTGGGGAGAATAATGACATAAGAGCATATATCAGTTGACTTTGTTTTAGTTGACAAGGATTTCAGAATGGTTTAATAGTAAGGGGCAAAATAGTGAGAGTAGTTGGCAGTGAGTCCTGGCCTTAACGGCGTGGGATTGGGCCCTCCGAGGGCCACGGGAAGCTTTAGGGCTCTTCCTTGATAAAATTTTCCATCATCTTATAGAGTGAAGGAATTCCTGTTAAAAAAAAAAAAACACTCCGAAGTGGCTGCGTGTCAGGTTGTGCACGCGTGTGGTAGCTTGTACCTGTTAAGGCCAAATCACCTTTATTATTACAAAGGACTCGTACTTAGTTTATTATTTAAAAATGTACGTTTCACATGAACATGGATGTGGTATCAGTTGATTTTTGCTATGAACAAAAGCATGGCATAAAGGTACTTCTTTCCTCTCCAGGTTATCCAAGTGCACGTTGTGAAAACCTTAAAGACTACGCGCGTTGTACGTTGGCATTGGTGGTGGAAATAAATCTAAGGAAATAAAAACTTTTGTTGGTAATGTAACTCCCTACTCCGAGTCCTTTGCTAATGTGACTCAGTCAAGTCGGGGATACCTAAATTGCAAACCTAGAAAGACTCAAGCCATACAACATTGTGCGTGACATTTCAAGTTAACCAAGTACAGTTGTCTGCTCTAGCAATTAAGTGTACATGATTGTATTGAATAGTGGAATATGAACAAGTCGCATGTTCAGCTGCTTGTGTAGCTGCTTTACATGCAAAGTGAGTGAATAAAATAAAATGCTTTCGTTTGCATACTACCTTTAACGACATCAACAGATGGGCTTGATACATGAGGCATGGAGCACTGGCAATTAAAATATCTAAGGTGGATCAGTTTACGTAGCGGTTCCCATCTTGTACATGTAGTAGCAATTCCTGTTCTCCCTATTGTTCTGTATATGCGTGTTAGAGAGTCTTGGGTTTATTATGCTGTTACACAGAGAATCTTACTTGATGTTGGACAGATCGACTCATAGAGTCTCTATACCAAATCAATGTCCTCAATGCTGAACGGTCGTTCTGTGGGTTTTATAGATTTTGAAATGCACATCCACTTTGCATGAATAAACGTCCAACAAAATGTTTTCATGTCAAGATAAAAATTACACGAGCTCACCTTTCGCAGATGTAATTTCCAAAGAATCCCATTACGACCCGGATCGCGAACTGACAACCGAAGAACAGGCCCATTTGCGTGTTGACAGCTCGCTCGCACTCCTTGTACGGCGACTCGTTAACGTCTGTCGCTGTAATGGGCCCGAGGGAAGTCGGGCTGTACCCGGTAACATTTCCCAGTCCCGCGAAGGTTGAACTGTCCAGACCGAGACACATGTCGAGAAAGACTACCGGTAAAATGGGCACTGCGAATTCAACAAGAATGCTGATATTCGTTTCTTTTTAATGAAATGACATACAAATAGGAGATTGTAATTGTATTTAGATATTACTAAAACTACAATTTCCTACTTACAATGTCATTTTTATTAATAATGGCCACACATTATGAAGGGGTGCGTTCGCGTTCTCCACCTCAATCTTTGACAAATACATAATGGCAGTTACAAGGTCAACATATTAATGTTAAGGCTTTTTAACATATCCGCATAAAGTGAATGTAACATGGAAACAGTCACAGTCATGTTCGTGGAGTTGTTTGGCAAGCTCGTTTGGCGAAACGCAATGTTGCGGTTTACATTAATTGCTCAACGTCAGGACTGTATATGAAAGAGAAAGGGAACAGAAGGAAAAAGTACCGAGGGAAAGGGTTGGAAAGCGTCGATTGCGTTGGTAATGCCTGCGAATTTATCCCCCCCCACACACACACTGTTTATAGTTGGTTAGGTTACGTGGCTTCGCTTATGTTGGAAATGCCCATGTGAAGGAATTCAGAACAAAGCACCTACATAAAGCTCCCGGCCATTATTTCAAGGCTTGATCATTGGATCAGATGAGGAATTCGGGTAACGACAATGGACTTCTGAATGTCATTCCTAAAAATATAACTCGCATAATGCCATGACAATGTAGCAACCTAAAAGATGCTGTCGATAAAGCTGTTTAAGTGAAAAGATTACCTCAATTTTTCAAAGTACATGTTGTAGTCTGTACAAATATTTCAGTTGGTTGGACTCATCGTAACTGAAATTTTGTGTGACATTTACCCGACATCTTTGTAAAAATGATAAAAGGGTCCATGAAAACCTCCGTTGACAAACTGTGTATTATTTAAGAGTATGCCAGTAACACGGGGATGTAAAATGGAATAAAATCCCTTTGTTGTGGTAAAACTTACTGACCCCTCGAATGAATATTTTAATCCTGACAAATGATGGTGACAATGAACGTGTGACATACATTTGAGAACCAACAATTATAGTCAGACACCCTTTTGGACATGAAAAAAATTCCTGTGGCCGCGGAATGTTCTAACGTAAAATACATGTACACGTACATGTGTACGTCCACGTATACGATGCTCTCTCGCCCTGTAAAAGCATGTGCCCATCCTATACGACCAGTGTATGGTGCAATTTTTACACGAGTACAATTAAATGAACAGCCCTGGCCGATTTGGAAACATTTCTTACCCTTAGTCTTTCACTTTTCATGAAAGCTCTTCTTCGTCTTTATCAACGCGCTTTCTTTGATTTCCCAAATATCGTGGGCGCGGCGCCTGACTTCAGCAATCGCTTAAATTTAATCCCAAACGAGTCGTACGTGTTCGGAAGAAAATACTGTGGGTAGAAATGTGCACTGCACGGCGTGGAGCTTGCTGTCGCTTTCTGCCATCTGGCCCTGGTCAGCCTGACTTTCGATGTCCAAATTTGTCTAAGTTCGCTTTGGTTGGAAAGTTATGCAGACTTGTCCCATCTTTATAGGTGTTGCCGTAGGCTGCAGCAACAAATCTGGTCTGCATGATTTCTCAGCTTGCCCAAATATTGGACTAAATTTTCCGAATTCAACCCATGACAAGTATTGACGTGCTTGCGGCGCGGGACGATGTCTTCTCAAATGTACGTCACAGATATGTTAATGATATAACTCCCGGGGGCGGGGCAGTTTCGCCCAAAATTTGGTTAATTTTCTTCTCCCATTTGTTAATCAAAACAACAACCTTAACGTTCTGGATATCGTTTAAAAACGTAAAATTTTCAATTAGAAACAACAGTATTTTCATGGGCCCTTATATAAAATACACAATCTGATACAAGTACATATACTTATTTATGAAAAAGAGGAAAAGGGTTTCTCCGTCGTAGAGTATAACTAACACACGTTTTGTCATCAATTACTGAAAGAACAAATTAGGTCTATAGTGCAGTCACAATCACATTTGTCAGTATACGCCAAACAATATTTTTGTCACAATTTGCTGTTGTTTGCTTACAACAGACACAAAAAAGCTAAAAACTTTATATAACATAAAATCAGACCAATTTTAATAAGCGCAGAGTAGTGATCCAAATTGGCAGGGATTTTTTATGAGGGGAATGCAATAAAAAAAATCCTACCAGTTTCGATCACTTCTCTGCCCTAATTAAAATTGGTCTGGTTTATGTAAGCCTACGTAATGTTCTTCAAACTACAAAAACGAGAAAATTCAAAATTAGATGACTGCAGTAAAAACCATAAAAACATGAAAATTCAATCATTTTCCTCGTGTTTAAAACTAATTTCAATAAAATGTTCTTTAAAAAGTCAGTTACACGGGAATGATAATCCTTTATCTCTGTACCAGTAATTAAGTCTATTAAGCCTATGCGGAGAAAAGATCAGACAAAATTAGTTCGTACTTAGGAGAGAGCAGGTAAAAAGTATGACAAATTAATTTGTTATTTGAAATATGATCCACCAAGAATGACCTTTTCTTTCATTAGATTTCATAGAATTGATGTTTATTTCAAGAACATTCAAAAGACTAGTAATCATGGAGAAGTTGTGAAATCCACAATACCGAGATCACATGCAGTTTGTTTATAATTTAGTGTGAAATAAAGCTGGTTAAAAAGACTCCAAATCCTCCTAGAAGTTTGCAATTAAAATTACAAAGGGTACCTTACACCTATTGACCGCGGTTGAATCACTGTTTCTGAAAAAAGGCTTCGGATTTTCACAGTGAACGCTACATCTTTTTTGAAATTTTGAATTTTTTTTTTTACAATGATCCTTAGTTGATCTTTCTGTTGGCCGCAATTATTTCAGACCGGCTTACCTTTTTTTTTCTAGATCAGAGAGTTTTGAAACTCATTATTGGGCTTCTTGCCTTTGATGTCACGTACTGTACTTATTCGAAGTACTCCCAAACCTCACTTTCATGAAAATTTAAGGCTCCTTTTCATGGATGTAATCTACGTAAAGTATTACAACACAAGACGTGAAAGGAATTTTTGACTCTTCTGGACTGTTCTAACAGGGGTATTTACGGTAAACGCGGCTATTTTTCCAATTTTACTTGCCTCTATAGCTTGTTCACAGCAACGTCAAAAAAACTGCGTTACATGAGTATGTGATATCATCAGAGCGGTATCAGTTAGTATATTAAGTTTGCTTTTATACTAGCTCTTTGTCGTCGCAAGATTGAAAACAGATACCGCAAATGAAAGAAATGAAAAGGTGAACTTACCGACTACAGCCAGTAAAAATTCATCCAAAAACAGGGCGGTTGACGCGACCACTACCAGAGTTACTCGGGAGTCACGGACTCCACGAAGTGCTGTCATGATTGTCATCCTGTGTAATCTCGGGAAAGATCTACGTCTTCGATGGTTCTTTTTCTCGAAGTTCGTCAGTTTAGTGTGGTGGCTCTCTCCAAATGGCTATCTTTCAACGCGGCGTTGTCAGGACGTGCGGAGGTGTTTGTTTGCTTCTGGAGGTCTCTGCAACATCGAACTTTGGAGTTTTTCAGTGAGCTGCCCAAGTACATTTGGTCATGTTGAACGAACCAGGCTGAAACGTTCCGCAAAAATTGGCAAATTTGCTGATAGTTGTTGATCGACGGTAAATGACTTCATACATCACCCTGATAAAATGCCACAGTCTTGTCTCAAAGAGCTGTTCTAAGTTAATCCTCTTGCCGCATCCGGCTGGTGGCAAGCAACAGCTGGTCGGTTTGATGATGGCTGAATGCTTCCTGGTCCAGCTTCCATGCAAACTCGATTCTCAAATGAAAAAGGACCTGTTTCCACTCAAGCTCATGCGCACTTGTGCCGACTAACCTTCCAGTCTCACCTCGTTGGGTTTTTTCCGCCCTGCGTCAATTCATTACAACGTATACTAATTAAAATGCTGCACCTGTGATCAATGCATATTTTAAACAAATCGTGGGAATAATCCAAATGCGGTAGGAAATTCTATTTCTTCTTGGCATGAAGACTTCAACGTTAAAAATATACACTATTAATAGAGCAGCAATGTAAATTTGCTTTCTGGTCGCGAGCTCGGTGGAGTGTTTGCTATTGTATTTTAAACTGCTCTCGACAGCTGCCGTCGTTAATTCGTACTAAACTCTTTGAATGACTTACGTGGCTGTTGTAATTTGCTTGAGTAAGGATAAGCAAACAGTCGAAGTTGTGGGTGCCATGGTGAAGAAACCTCCTGTAACCTTAAGGATTAAAACACCCTCCCCTAGGGAAGCCCTTTGAATAACTCAATTCGATATTCTAACTGCTGAGTGTCATGTTGTCTCTTTGATTCCACGGAAATTTGCAGGTTTACAGATTAGTTAAACTCCAATGTTGAAATTGAACAAGTCTCGATAAACGTACACGAACATAATGTCTTCTTAAGCATTTCAATTTGTGCAAATGTTAGTTACATTCAGTTCTGACCTTTTGAGAAGTCACGGCTATATATTTTTGCATACCAAGTAGTCAACAACTGTTCTTTGCGGTGGAAATAATTGAGATCACATGTGCAGAGTGTTGAGTCAACTCGATTTAGCATGCTTCCAGTATTGTAAAGTATACCGGAAAGCTATATTCTGCAAATTTGTCATTTCAAATAGGGTCAATCGACTGATTTTTAAGATGTAGGCAACACTTAGGTCTGAGGTGGTGCAAAATGTTTTTCTCCTAGCTACGGACAGATGGACAGGCAGCCCGACAGACAAACAGATAGCCCGGCAGACTGACAGACGACAACACAAAGACATATCTAAGAAAATGATACGTAGAACTAACAGCAAGACAGAAAATTATCAACTGAGACCTGGAGTTCAGAGACCAGGAGCGAGACCGTAAAATCGAGACCAAGACAGACAGAAACCTTAATTTAAATGTTGCATATGTGATGTACATACTACGCACCAGTTTCACTCTTTTTCATCAATGCTGGATTAGCTGAGTCCCCACTCTTACAGTCTAAAAACAATCAGACCGATTCCAATTTAAACAGATTTGTCGGTCTGAAATGAAAAACATTTCTCCATCTGCAGCATACGGGGAAGTACAGTGAAACTCAGTAACTGGTTCGGCGGGGGTGGGTTTCAACAACCTGTTGGTACCTGGAAAGAGTGGCCAAAATAATGGAATGCTAATCCCGGGCTTCAATATGCTGACTTCTACCGACTTCGGCAGCTGGTGACAATAAAATTGTAGTGATACAGGAAAAAGTGGCCAAAAATAATAGAATTCTAAGCCCAGGCGTTAACACACTAAATGTAGCTTACTCATATTCCGCAGGTTAGACTCTGGGTAAATATTGCATGTTGGGCCTTTGGTACCTTTTACATTGTACGCCTACATTGAAAACCCATTATTTCGCGACATAGCCAGCACACAATACACATGGCACGAAATGACACACACAGTCCAACACATTTATGTTCAGACGTGAAGACTTAAAAAAAAAAAAACTAGCAAACAAACAAAAACAACTGATTGACCCAACAGTATTTATCCAGAACCCGTTGGATACATTTTAAAAGTAAGCGTTGTCTGTCACTTGCAAAACTATAAATACGAATCAAGGAGTGCTTCAATTTTTCGTACCAGAATCCACCGCAGTTTATACATCTGTTGTGACTGCACACGTTTTAGAAATGGGTCATACTGACGTCCTTTGATCAGTACGTAAACATCCACAGGTGGCAATCTCCGGCAATACACGTTACCATCCGAATGTTGACGACAACGTTTTTAGCCTAGAATATTTCGGATATTTTCGTAATTGGAGGAAAAATAATTGTTCCCGCTCGAAGCGATCAGCTGACTGTCGCATGTAGATTGTTTCCTCCGAAGGGAAGAGACCCGCGTCCCCAGTCACCAACTGCGGGGCGTAACAGTAATTTCAGCTCTGGGCTGGGTAAAAACCTATAATATTTTAGGTCCACCATTGTGTTAGGCGGGGTTGGCTGAGCAGTGGACTCACCCTCATGGCTATTCATTGCCGGTGCTAGACATCCCTGCAGTACCGCGGCGCATTAATACCAGGCAATTCAATTGACTTGGCAACTGTGACAGGAAATACGTCCAGCCTAGCCGATAGTTTAGTGGCAATATATGATATTGCTTACTGAACTTTAACTTCAACTGAACTATAAATTTTACCCTTTGTATCTCTGTAATTACAGTTGTAAGCAAGCGGAGTCTTATAACATTGAACCTAAAATGTACGGCTCGGAAAACGTTTCTACTTAAAAGTTCCTCTATTTATTCTCAGATTCCCTGAACGATCGCCTAGAGATGACATTGTAATATCCTAATCAGGATGTTCCAGTTCAGATGTTATTCTCCAAAAAATCAAATAAAAAGGCCCGATAATTAGCTGTGTTCATTTGTTAAGCTCATACCTATAGAGTATGATATAACGAGACCTTTATATTTTGATGACATCTCCTACGTCTAATTGCAACGTTTCTTCAAGTTATCTTTCACTAAATGTCAATTTTTTTTGTTCAGTACATAAACTCTATTTGTGTGCTAAGGGTATTAGAAGAATAGGTCTGGAGAACAGTTCCATAATGGTTTCAATCGGGTTTTCGTTGCTTTAATACCCCGCTCTAACGGCCATAGGACTGAGAAGAAAATCATCAGCGATAAAAATGTTGCTAAAGTGGGACCTTCACGCTGTTGACCTGACTATGACTATGTAGGTATGTTCCATTCCACCACAGATGCTATTTTTGTAGCTACTCATTTGAGAAAAAATAAGCGCCACCCCGTGCCTTTTTGGGCAAAGACGGGTATCCCCAAATTCAAAGATATCGAAATCTGAGCACACGTTCGACTGGACCAAAAATCGAGAACTTTATTTTACGACGTGACTGTGCTGCTAATACATGTGTAAAGTACATTGCTCTTACTATCGTCCGTCGACAAGGCAAAGCCCATCACAGCTCCAACCACGGCAGCTACGTCCATATTGCTCTTACTGTCGTCCGTCGGTAAAGCCCAGCCCATAAAAGTACGGATCCATATCCAACCACCGCAGCTACACTTGTCCCCACCATCGTAGCTGATATTCCCAACCAGTTTGTTATTGTTCCCATAAAAGGCTCCGCATTAAAACCGACGAAACATTCACCGAAACCTCATTTTGTGTTAACAAAAGATCAACTTGTCTCTTTGGTTTGCCATACCCGGGTTTATAAGAAAATTGATATGTGTGAGAGTGGACAGTGCAACACGAATTACATTTTAATAGATTTTTGTCTAAAGTATCCAACGTGTAATCATACTAAGTGTTTCAGTAGGTGCCAAAACGAATTTATGTAGATTTTATGTATTACAATCAATAATTCAATTATTGTTCTATTTATAACTTCGTCCATAAAGGGTGACACTCCTCTGACCTGCATGATAGTTCGTCCATACGTTTACGAAAAGGAAAGCATCGATTTTTGCAACGCAACAAACAAATTTTCATAGGATTAACAATAAAAATCTCACAAATTGAGACTAGCATTGTAACAGGAAATAGAAAGTGCTGTTCCTTTAAACATGCTTAGAATATGGATACCAAAAAATAAAAAAAAGGAAAAAGAGAGAGACAATTTTTAAAGCCTGGCGGTCATGAGCGTAAATCCAGAGGAATGGGGGCATATATCCCCCAACATATATAACAAATAAAGGATATTTCAGTGATCTATCAATATCCCCAAAATCCTGAATTTGACCTTTGCCCATTTTTCACCCTTACGACCTTTTTCCGGCACCCGACGAAATCAACCCATGAGCGAGGTACACAGAGCACGCACTTGTTATTTCCTGTCACTATTCCTAGCGTTCTTAATCACCGCAGTAAAGTCAAGACAAAATCCAAATGACCAGAACTGCAGGGGTAAAGGGACGGACGACGGGTTTATGACGCAGTTTGTCACAAATTAGAGACACGTCAAATAATGCAAGTAACTAATTCACCCAGTTCTAGAAGCAACGGTTTTGGCATCATGCGTCATGCAATGTGAAACAAAAAGCATTGATTTTTTCTCAGGAAAATGACAAAAAAAGAAATATATGTACGACACATCTACGGCATCACGCACAGTTTGAATGTCACAGAATGTTTAGTTTCACTAAGTTAATGGAACATTGAACAATTTTGCCCCAAATAAAAGTATCACAGTTGTTACTATTATTTTATTCCTTGAAGAAATACAGAACCAAAACGGGATTCTCTCTAATGTTAATAAAGGTGCATTTGCGCTTTCTGCCGTAACTCCTTCATGAACGACACTATTTGCTCGTCGGTATAGGTTAGTTTTACTAGTGTTTACTCTGTTGATCGACATATAATTATCACATGTAATATGATAATTATCTCAAAAAGGCAAATCAATCGCACTGATCTCGTGAAATCGGTCACTACGATATGTATTAAATTTCTTCAGCGGAAGAGTGTTTATGTTAATACCGTTGCTCTTGTGTCTTTTCTGAACTGGGTCGACTGGGTCTGGTCGACTATTGCCCACTCTATCCAATACACTGTGGACTAGACTGCCCTATCAAGCTACTGTACTGAAGTTTATCAGAATGTGTGATGTACAGTGTGACGAGTACTGGTTCTGCTGGCAATGCCCTCATCGGCGTTGATGAAGGATTTCCATTTTTGAGCGTCACCTTCAATGCCATTGCTCCCTCTTTTACTGAAAACTCTTTCTATTTTTTGCACCAAATTCTTGAAAATCTTTTACAAAAATCTGCCTTGTGCCCCTGTGAACAAGTTCCAGGTACAAGTGTAGCCAGTTGCTGACTCATTTACAGAGAAGCATTTCAGCACCCATTTTGCAGCTTTTCGTGGAAAGTTTTGCTTGAAGCCGAGTCATCCCTTGAATTTCACCAACGTCTCGTCCAGTGAGAGGTTTCTTCCGGGCCGATAGATCCGAAGAAGGATGGCAATACAATGTTTCGGAGAGAGAGAACTTTGGACAGTTTGTCGTGGATTGAATCGTCTGATCGATGAGCTCTCTGTTATTGGCAAGGTGAACAAACCGATGGATCGCTGTGAAACGGTTACGAGCCATGGTTGAAGAGAAGAGGGGACTTCGCAGAACATCAGATCTGGACCAGTGCATGGCATATCTTGGCCTTTGGTTGATGCCCATGCAAAGAATTAGGGCGACGAAGGTCATCATTTCGGGCACGTTCGTAGGAGTCCACGTAGGCTGACTGTGGTTGCCTTCATCTGCAGCCAAAGTTTGGCTGGCATATCAATAGATTTATTTGACCAACAGTTCTCAAACTGCTAGACAGAAATATAATTGGAAGACTTCAACGGGGGACAACTTACTGCAGTCTTCACTGCAGCTTGTCTGTTCAGGAACGACGGCCAGCATTTACGCGAGAAAGTTGACTTCAGGCCAGCCAGCTCGGACGTTGGTCTTTTCCGACCGTTTTGATGAGCTCCCAGCTCCCAGCAGGTTCAACTTCTTCTTCACCACTGTCTTCCGAAGTAAATGCGGGAAACCTCGTCTGTTGACACTTCCGAACCGCTGTAAGCGAAGATTTTGCCCAAAATGTCGGCCGTTTTATTGACTTCCATCCTGTTCATGTTGTTTGGCGTGGGTTGTTTCACGCGCGCGTGCACTGACAGCCAATCAGATACGGTACCGCCAGACCAGAGGGTGCTGTTGAACTTGCAGTGAAAAGCATTAGGGACCTGAGCCACAGTGGCACGGCGGTAACTAAAGCACATTATGGATTGAGCACATTTGGCACGTGTGGTAGCCAGCTAGAATGCACAATTGGCAAATTTGGCACAATGGTAGTGAAAGGGCTAACGCTGTTCCCAATCTCCCATTCAGTGTGAGGATGACAGCATTGTTGTTTGAACACTCCACATCATCGCCAACCTTTGGTGGATCTACCTGTTTCGATACATTGCATCTAGCCTCAACACGTATTATTTTATTTGTGCAACTTTCCTCAGTGATTCCACTGATCTTATTTTCTGCTTTTGCGGCCTCCTGCGGCAAAGCACGAGCCTGGTCTCTTCGGATAGCTGGTTGAATTCGATTGCAAGACTGCTCAGGTTGGACAGCTTTTGGTCGTCACCACATTGTTGGGGCGTGGTCTCACGTGGATGGATAGGTCTTTTTGTATTTCATTTTCGCCCTTTCTGGGCTCTCAAGTCAGCTTTTCAGATCTTTTTATCGTCCTCCGAGTCATTGACGACGAATATTCTCTGTATTTATTATTTTATTATTATTATTATTTATTTGACCATTACAGGAACAAAGTAAACTTGAACAAAGAGTACATGTATATAAAAAAACAACAAAAACACCCATACAGGTAAATATTAGCAGAAGCAGGGACCAGGGACAAAAATCCGAATACATAACAAGACAGATAACAGTTGGGTCAGGGACTGCAAAAGTAAAATAAACTACTATTACCCGCGGGTATGCAGCCCCTCACATAACGTTAACAAAACAAATTATACAGAACAAAGAAAACAGCGGTCCCCACACAGGTGATCAAAATGACAAGCCAGATAAAAAAAATAGGTTGAATTACGTGGGTAGGGCAATGAAACAAAGCTTGTGTGCGGGAAGGAAGATGGCAGAATGTGAGCAAATCTGGGTGGCGGGAATTGACATGGAAATTATTGCTGATGGTCTCAGATTAGCATAAACCGTGTAAACATGTAAACACAAATGAGCATAGCAAGTATTGTCTTCTGGATGATAAGGAGAACCAATTAAGCCAGTCAAGCCTGTCCTCATAATCTGACCTCATAATCTGACCTCGCCGTTGTTTTAAGGCGTTTCGGGTTGCTGGACGTTGCACGTGCTCGATCTGTTGTTCTTGGGATAGCGTGTGCGGGCCCCAGCAAGGGATGCCATATTCGAGGACAGGTAGGACAAGCGATTTGCACACTGTGAACGATGCTTGCGTAAATGAACCTCCAGCAACTGATCGAACAAAACCTAAGAGGCGATTGGCACGAGAAACAAGGGTATTAACGTGGGAGTTCCAGCTAAGGTCGGAAATAATGGTGATGGCTAGGTACTGGATGGAAGAGGAAGCAGCTAAAGGGGAATTACCAAGATTGTTAGTAGGAGGATGAATATTTCTGCTTCGAGTAATGTGTGACCTTGTTTGGAAGGATTATAACAACACGATTACACAATAACCAATGGAGGAGGTTATTGAGATCAGTCTGAAGGTGACGCCCATCCACTTGTGACTGGATAACACGAAATACCGTCGGAACTGTCATTCACAAATAGATTGAACAAAGTAAGACCTAAAACACTCCCTAGTGGAACACTAGAAGGCACATCTGCCCAAGACGATGCACTACCCTGGAATATTACTCGCTGTCTACGGTTCGTTAAAAAGGACCTGACCCAATACCACACGATGCCCGGGATGTTAAAACTTGAGGCTTTGAAACCCACCAGGGCCAAGCAACGTGATCGCGTCCCCCTCGTACTCCCATACGACCCTCGAGACATCCCGGTACGTAATGCTCTCAAACATTTTCACACACTCGGTAATGAGGCGGCCACAGCTTCCCCCCATTTGCGCGTTTAGGCGCGATTGTTCCGTCAGGGACATGGTTTTACGTTCCCGGTTGGATTCCGTCTCGCCGTCAAAAGCAGGCCCCAGTTCCCCTTTTCAGCTGCCCTAGATGTAACACCTGCCCCTACATAGTTAACAGCCTGTTGGTCGTCGGCCCCCGCAGTAGCTACAGAATACGCGGGGATCATACGTGAATTACTAGTAATGTGGTTTATTGCATTACATATCGTTGCTGTGGTAAACTGTACATCGGAGAGACCAAGCGTCGCCTTGGTGACCGCTTTGCAGAACACTTGCGCAGTGTGCGCCAACAAACACCTGGTCTCACTGTTGCGCAGCACTTTTGCGCCCCGCCACATTCCCTCGGTGACGTAAGCGTCTGCATTCTGCGGAAAGCGTCATCCGATGTACAGCGTAAGGAACTGGAGCAGCGCGTCATTTTCGAACTTGGAACGCTGCATCCAGGGGAATGAACGTGGATTTTTCCGCGTTCATTCAGAACTGAATCTGCTTGCCCTGAAGAAGATACTCAGTTACCGAAAGCTCGACAATCATATATTTCAGAGCACTGATTTATGGGATTTCAAGCTGTTCATGGTGACAGACAACTAAGTTGGAAAGCTTGCGGTAGCACTATGCAATGATACGATCTCTTTTGTGAGTCTGTATGGTTCTGAAAAGAACTGTGAAGGACTTAACGTTTCGGACAGTATGCTCTGTCCGTCGTCAGGAGACTGAAGAGATGCTGACAGAGAGTGGGGTTTAGAAGCCGACTGGGAGCACTGGAGTGTGGCGGATCCTTCTGTGAAGTGAGGCGGAACGAGGATGCAGCTGGTGGATCCACCTGGGTATTGATGCGTGTCACTTGGTCATGGGCTGTGGCGGGGGAAGGTTGCCTGGGTATAGGAGACCCATGGGCGGGGGGGTCTAGGGTATAGAGGACTTCTCATTGTACCCCTTCCTGCCATGGGTTTTGTGTTCTTTGATCCTGGTAGTGAGGTCCCCACCAGTCTCTCCAATGTACACTGGCAGGGGATCTTGTACACGCCTGGTCGGCGGTGTGGATCTTGCCTGTCCTTATGGGAAGTCAGCATCTTGTGGATCTTGACGGGAGCTGTGTGGAACACCTTGATATTGTGCTTTCCCAGGATACGCTGGATGTGGTGGGAGGTACGTCTTCGGTAGGGGATAATGACAGAACTAGGGGCCTTATCTAGTTGGCTTTGGGTACAGGGGACCCTACGGCCGGGAGGGGAACTTGATCTTTGGTCTTGAGTCTTGATCTGCTTGGGCTGGTATCCGTTGCGTTGGAGTGCCGTGGAGATGTGGTGGAGTTCCTTGTGTAGGTGCTCTTGGTCGCAAATGTTGTAGGCTCAGCAGATGAGGGCTCTGTTAACCAATGACTTGATCTTGGGGTAGTGGAAGGAGGCGCTGTTGAGGTACCGGTCGGTGTGGGTGGGCTTGCGATAAACCTTCCGGACAGGACTTCCATCCTCCCTTCTGGACACCTCAACATCAAGAAACGAAAATGCTGCCATTCCTCTCTTGTTCCATGCTGTGAAGCCCGTTGAGGTGGTCCAAGAAGAGTTAAAGGTTGTCTTGCCCGTGCTCCTAGATGACGAATGTGTCGTCCACATACCGGAGCCAGATCTTGGGGCAGTGGTCTGCTGTGGCAATGGCGGTCTGCTCGAACTCTTCCATGAATATGTCAGCCACAACCGGGGATATAGGAGATCCCATGGAGGTTTCAGCTGTTTGTTCATAGAATTTGTCCCGCCACTGGAAGCTGGCAGAATCGACGCAGGTGGTGAGGAGATCTTGAAACTGGCTGGGGGTGAGGTCGGTGCGGTCCTTGAGGCTGGTGTCGGCTTGGAGTGGGTCCCTCGCTATATTGATTGCGTCGGAGGTGGGAACGCTGGTGAAGAGCGACACGACATCAAAGCTGACCATGATGTCACCTGGCTGCAGCCGGAGGTCTTGGATGATGGACGAGAATTCATCTGAGTTCTTGATGTGATGCTGGGTGTTGCCAACTAGAGGGCGAAGGGTCTTGGCCATGTATCTTGCAGTGTTGTAGGAGGGCCTTCCTCTAGAAGCGACGATGGGGCGTAGTGGGGTCTCCTTCTTGTGTATCTTGGGCTGGCCGAAAAATCTTGGACATCTTGAGTTGGATGGACGTAACTGTCGGTACAGCTGTTCCGTGATGTTCCCGGAGCGGTGGAGGGAGAGAAGCTTCTATTGCAGCTTCCTCTCGGTGGCTGCCGTGGGGTCTCTCCGAAGTTCACTGTAGCTGCCGGAATTGAGTACATCCATGACCTTGTGATCATACTCAACCCGGTCCATGACCACCGTGGCATTGCCCTTGTCAGCAAGGAGGATGTGGATGGATTTGTCTTGGCGGAGGGACTTGATTGCTGAACGGTCTTCTCTGGTGGTGTTGGGCTTAGGGTTCTTGTGTTTCCGGAGGGCTTGGCTTACGTCGAGGCGGATCTCATCGGCGGTGGTCTTCTCTAGGCGGCGGGGAGTGGGCTCAGTGGCTTGAATGATCTCTTCCTTGGGCAGAGATCGTATCCTTGCATGGTGCTACCGCAAGCTTTCCACCTTAGCCCTGATTTAATCTTATATTCTTGTCGATATACATTTTCTGTAACCTGACAAGGCTTATTGTATAATGTACATGTACATGCAAGTATTACGATCACCAAGCTGAATACTTGCGATTCTGACTGCCCCAAAGGGACAACCCTGCCTGACCTTTGCGCCAGTTTCGGCTGGAATCATGTATCTTACCTAATCACTGTATTGCACCCTTGTCATCCGCTCAAGACAATGCTTGTCGGATTGTGAGACATCAGCATCAGCATGCTCATGTACATTGAAAAGATTGAAAGTACTCAAGGCAAGATCCATTGCGTTGGCTACAACAGCTTTCTGAAGTGCCAGAATGTTAGGTTAGCAAAGAATATGACTCTTACTTGTCAATATAGAAAGGTTGATATTTGACTGAATAAACTTACATTAACTTCTTATTCCTCCTGCGACGCTGTATGAATTTTTACTCACACGGTCTCGGGAGCGGACTGTTCCGTTGAGTCTGTTTCGTTTTTCAGGGTTGCAGAGCCCTGAGTCCGTCCTAAAGGTATATTAATGCTTCAGTGGTTGTCCCCTAGCCTCTACAGCTCTTACAAACCACCAAAAGTACATCACAGTCCCGTGGGGGGGGGCGTTTTCCCAGGCCGATTTGAGGGAGGGCCCTCGCCACGTGCCAGCCAAGCCACACCACCACCACAACACCCCCCGAACCAAAGTAACACTTCAAAGACAGCCGAAAGAATCTTCTGACAAGTTCCAGACAGCTGTCACTGATAAAAAACATTCCACTGTCTGCCCCAGGCACCGTTTTGTAAACAACCCATTAGATTGTACACAAGGGACCACTTAGCACACAGTCCTATAGGAATTGGCTGGAGGCTGGCTGAAGGCCGGCTGGATGTTTTTTTTCTGGCTAGGGGAGGCCCTGGCTGTAAACTAAACCAGGTTTTTCAGCATGTACAGGGGTAGGATATGATAAATAGTCGTTGCATTTGGACGAAAAAAAATTAAACGTTAATTACCTCCAATGGACTCGCCAAAAGAGGCTGCTCCCTCTACCGAGAGTCAAGAGGTACTAAAAATTTAATATGAAAAAGGAATGTTCCGAAATCAAGAAAAAAAAAGTTGGGAGACAGTGTCAACATCAGCCCGTCCGATGTCAACAGAAATTCATGATAAGCACAATCCACTGCCATTTTTATTTTTCTAAAAAATAACAAGATAACGTCCAGGAAACAATGTTTGAAGACATTCTTTCAGTTTACTTTGTTACGTCCTGGCAATATCTGCCCAATAAACATAATGTTGCTGTGGTCTTGTAGGCCTAGATGGAGAACGATTATGGAGCTTACACAAAATGCTCAAGTGGCTAACGTTTGCAGCACTGGCGCATGCTTTTTTAAATGCCGTTTTTCTCAAAAAGTAGTTTTGATCACAGCGATGCTTCTCATTGCGTCGTATTTTCGGAGCAGAGTTGCTTACGAGTACAAATGTGGTATCACTGGAAAGCCCATTCCTTTCTCTTTATTCTCATATGCATATCTCAAAAAAGTCATAAATGGGGATCGTTCCTCATTATGCCATGTCAGGTCAAATTTTTGTATTTGTTTGGCAGCTAATTTGTATTAATGAATCAACCCCCCGGAAATTTAAGAGTGTGCTCTAAAATTACAAAACCAATGCCAGATGAAAGATGGGCAGGGAAAAATTTCACCACAAAGTTATAGAAAGAACCATCTTGATTTAACCTTTTACACAGTTCCGTAATTACAAAAAAGGAATGTAAATATTACTAAACCGAGCCTGCACAAAGAAACATGCATATTAAAGCTGAAAGAGCAACGGAAAATGCATTTCCAAGCATGCACTGGAAAAGCTACTGTGGTGCTAAGTTGATGTTAAATAAACGACCCATGGGAGCCGAGTAGGGCAACGCTGGATGACTGATGTCTTACGTGGATTTCACAAATGTTCACATTGTAAAATGGTTAGACTATGCTACTAACACACTTAAGAGAAGTTCTGAAGCTGAGATAAGCAGAATCCAAGCCATGTTTGCTTACGAATCGCAGTAGACATATAGTGTATACATTTCTTGATTAACTATAATGGTGCCTTGTCTCCTTTGGTACAAGTTATATTTGATGGTCTGTTTAAAGACATAAGCTAGGACATAATGACCCTCTATTGCTTTTATTCAATAACTGCTTCTTGGTCTATACTACTGCTTCAGTGCGTAACACTAGAAGCAGGCGTGAAAACCTAATGGTACATATGTGTCAAGAATTCCATGTTCGAGAGTGTGTCAAAGGTTGTTCGTGCTTGACCTTATTTGGTGAGTTCCCGGTATTGGTGCTGATCAGTTGGTGGCGCTTGAGCCTGATGATGATACTGATCCGGCTGTGCCGGGTAGGTTGTGATCTGTCCCTGCCCCACCGGGTAGACTGCAGGTAAGGAGAAAGAGGATAATAGTATATAAACTTTGTCTCCTCCGATGGTAAGCAAGACGCTCAGGCTCGATAGTTGGGTGAGCACAAACACTTCTACAAACATGTCAAGAGACCCCACAACATACAAGACCAACGCATGATGACCCAGAACACAGCAAAACGAAACTGACGAGCAGTAAGCCAACATAACTGCGTCTGGTTGTTTACGTTTTTACTGTAATTACTGCCACACATCGTGGATTTAGACCTGCATATTGTATGTATTCCTTACCAACGTTTGGCTGGCCTGTATTGCAGACGGCTGTACCCTGAGGTTGACCAGCAGGCACTGTCTGTGGTGGGACTTGATACTGCACCTGATGTGGGTTCCGTGAGAGGGAAATAAATGAATTCATTTCAATTATCAGGGATTTGATTAGATAGTATTTTGCAAACGGGACAAAGGCATAGTCACTACTTGTTTAATTAATAATGAGTCAAAATGTAGCAAATTTCCCTTCACTGTGTAATAATCCATCTAACCTTAGTATACACGTCTTTTATCGTACCAAAAAAATTATTCGCCAGTAAAATCAACTGAACTCATTATTTTATCCAGTGGCGTTTTAAAGTAACAGTTTAAAAAAGTCGAAAATTGTTGCCCGTGTATGAATGCAGCTGACCAAAATGTGAACTTGGCTCTGGCCGAGACAAATTTCAATTCTTATTTTAGGTCAGTTGGGTTTTAATGAATTAATGCCATTTCAGCTATTTGCTTGATTTTTACAACTGTTTGTTTGAAAAATGAAAGCGAAAACGAAATGCATCCTATTTCTTGATAAATGGGTCATGACGGTAATTTGTCAAATCTAAATTAATAGGCCTTTTTATATTTGATGGCCCATTTAAACGAACCGAAGCCAAAATATCGGAAAACTCCTTGGTTAAGTGGCGCTTGCCATAAACATTACGTAAGGTTGTTCTCAATGAAAACGTTTCAGCTTGTTCTGACAAAATTGGGATCTCTAAGTATGTCAGATTTTTTTCCGCATGAAATAGAGACAGCATTTTAAGGCTTCTTTATCGAGTAAATAACACTGTTGCTATCAATGTGCTAATTTACTAGCATATTATAACAAAGGCACCACAGTTCCCTTTTAAACGTCAAAACAGGTGAAATGGGTTACTGAGGTGTATTTTCACGAAGTGCACCTGTTTCCCAGAGCCCATGTGGGCAGTTACTCACCACAGTGTGTGTCACCGGAAAAGCACCGCAGAGCGGACTGCAGGTCATGCTGGCCCCAATGATGGAAATAACAAATTCCACCACTGCGAGAAGTATGACTATGGCATACACGCTAGTGATAGCTCCCTGGACAAAAATATACCAAAATGATGCAATTGCCGCTACTAATAGTCACAAGGCATCGATCTGTAACAAAACGTGCTGAGCGAAACTGGCCAACTTTTGACATTTTTGCGTGGTGACTTTTGTTTTGTAAACTTGACCCCAAACCGACACCGGGTTATTTTATTTATTATAATTTATCTATAACATTTTGCTTGGTCGGGTCATTTTTGTTTTTGTGTTGGCCGGATCGGTTAAATCGAGCCATTCTTAAAAGAGGAACGATAAATTGCAACCGTAAGTTGCATTTTTTCGGGTCAATTTGGCCTTTTGCTCCTTGGACCCTGCTCAGTGTAAAACATTTGTAATGGCTTCTCCTCTCAACCTTAGTCTTTTGTTACAGCCTGCGCCAGGAAGTGCTTTCTTCATTTTCAAAACTCTGTCATTTTTCAATGATAGTCTAGCGAGTTTGTGAATTGCTGGGCTAAAAATATGAAATCGAATCACAGTTATCTTTTAAAGTGGCGATTCTCGTTTGAAAACATTGTGAATCAGTTGGAAAGTAATGAATTTCCTAGGCAGAAAATAGCGTCCTTGATAACATAGGAAAATCAGACCTGCTGACACACGAGGAGATAAAGTTCTCACCTTCAAGCTACATACTTCCCGATAGTTGTAGCGATAATTATAGAAACCGTAGTCATTGGAACTGTAATAACGGCACGAATATTCGTTGACACTTGCCAGGATAACGGCGCTGACGATGATGACAAAGCACGCAGACAAACAAGCCAAAATGGACATGACCATGTAAGCGATAGCCTGCACGAAAAAGAAATCACGAACAAAGCTGATTTGTGTAATGCATGTAAAAGTACGACACTAAATATGCCTGAGATGTGACATAAGTCTACTCTTCAAAGATGGGCAAAATAGCCAAAGACGGAATGATTATTCCAAAAGCTTGGCTCCCCTCTGAACTTGGTTCCAGGCTTCAATTTTGCAGTTCTCTCTCCGAGTCCAAAACTTCCGACTTGAAAAGCCTTAATCTTTGGCATTGAAAGCATTGACTTGTTCAATGCTAAGCAAAATGTCTAAATAAATTCTAATTTTTTTCAGGTAGAAAACGTCTGAAATTAATGGTTCGGTCAGTGAATGTATCAAACAGAGGACAGGAGGCAAGTTTCATTTTTTTGAAACGGCACTACCACATTTTGGTGAGAGTGGTGCTGTTATCTTTGACCAGTTTGTTTATCTATTCATTTAAAATCATATTTATACAGGGTGACATCGTTCAGCAATAGCTGTTTTTCAAAATGGTCCCGTTGTCAAAACAAAATACACGTTTTATATGATCAAAACAAGTAAGCACACCAAAATGTTACAGGGAATAATCGCTTAAACTCACTATAATTCACTAACCAATTCAAACGTTGTATGAAAAATCCTTTCGCCACCCTCTCCTGAATGGGGACCTGAATAGGGTCTTACAAAGTCAGATTAGTAACTTCTGACAACTTACCACACCCTGGCTCCTCTTGCTTCCAGACACTATGCCCAAGATTCCAGCCACGACGTAAAACTTAAAAACATCAACACGTTTGGATTACAAAAAATTAAGGATTAAGAAAACATACGCCTTTATTTGACGCAGAATTATGGACATGTGCGAAACCAATAACCTCATCCACTATTGGTTAAAGTTTCTTTTTTGCTTTACTCGAGTTGATTTGAAGAGAATAACGGGATTTTCCTGACCATGGCATCATTTTAATCTTGCATGTTTAATCATTTTATAATAGTTTAATTAATGCACTGAACAGAGAATCCTATTACAACCCAGGAGATTGCTTGCGCCAGACGTGTACCCATTAAATGTTTCGGCGTGAGAGTTTATACAACAAGCCAAAAGAGTACGATTTTTTTGTAAGTGTTGCGTTTTTCTTACTTACCAAGAGACCACACCAAATGGGGGATCCGAGATCGGTCCAGTAACGTTTTTTCAAAGCCGTTTGGGTGACAATCCCGAAAATGATGGTCAAGGAGCCCAGAACGACCTGAGTTATTCCCGTGCTTGCTATGGCCTTCCAGCTTCTTTCTTGAGACTGGCTGACTGCCACTGGTGGAGCCGGCTGCGTCATCATCTAAAGTCAGACACATTCAGTATGCATGCAACTACAGTAGTAGCTCAATCCGGGGGTGTAAAGGATCAGAATAGCAACGGGGTGCAGAATTTAAATCAAAGTCGGAAGGTTAAGTACAACATCGGGAGTGTAAATAATACTTGGAAAAAAGGCAGAGATAATGAAACTAGTTGCTGTAATGTGAACACTGTGTTATTCCCACATTGGCTGCTTATACCAAAGAAACCAGTTATTAAAATCCATTAAAAGAAAAACAAAATCCAGGATACGCGCCTGCGTGTTGGAAATATCCTCGAATTACGATTAAATTGAAGTTAATTAAATTGATTAATTAATTAAGAATTAATTAAAAGGCATTTTGGCAGAAATGAAGAATTCTTCCTTCTCCAGGAACTGTTAGCGTGCACTGGCCCAACACTTCGCTAATATACTCCTGTCCACCTGTGTCTCCCTGGCCAGTCATAATGTGAGGCCAGCTTAGAATATTGTCGGAATTACCCTTTTCGACACCGCTATAACACAGTCAGTGGCTTACGGGGCCACGTGAGGGCCCGTTTTTTTTTTAGGGAGGCACTCAGTGGGTTCCTTCTGGGCTAAAATATTGAGCAAGGCTCACTTTCATCGTTTTTCCGTCCTCTGATAAGTTGCTCAACGTCATCACCGAGAAGTTAGTTACCAAAGTTTCATTGAGGCTCACTGCAATAACGTGGATTCCAAAATATCAATATACAGCGCCCCGCATCAACTGTGGAATTTCAAATCAACTGTGGAGTGCCAACGGATTATCAAAATTGACCACGTCATATGCATACACATGCGTGCATGTGCGTCGGTTTAAGGACAAAACTCGTTATAAGAATTAACATTTTCCCGATGGAAAGTGCATGGTAAAATACATTGTGGTAGTAGCTGCTGTATCAGATTCGGACCAGCCAGCTGACCCTGGCAAGCTCGGCGGTCGAGTGGTTAAGACGTCTACACTAGTGAAGCAGGAGGTCGCGGGCTCGAGTCCCACCCGAGTAAACTCGGAAAAGCGCTTAGTATATAGTTTTATGCATATATGTCGGTGTAAGGGCAAACCTGTAATTAAAATCAGCATAGCCCCGACGCAAAGTACATCTTGTAATACAACATTCTGCTGAGAAATCAAACATGCGTCACGAGCCTTGGGCCAACGTAGTAGCCGGAAAAATGTGTCCTCGCTAACAAGCCGCCTTCAGAGACATTGTAGCAATCAGGATAACAATTAAAAAATCATTGTTAAGTATTCAAGTCCTCACGGTTTCTTATAAAAGCGCGTTTTTCTCCAAGTTTCTTCGGCCCTTCTCCAGAACGCAAGCAGTGCCAGCTAAAACTTTGCAACATTAGCCCTAGGGGGCAGGATGCTCCGTTTAATATGCTGCAATCACCCCCCCCCCCAAAGTGTTTATTGTTGTATCAGAAGATGTATTGGGGGTCTGGTGGTTTGAGGGACTTTTTAGGCTAGCTGCAATGCAAATGGGAGTCCATATTATTCAATTTTCAATTTCCTTGCTTTTTGGAGCAAGAGTATAACAGGCCTAGTATTTCTCATTGAGTTCTTGTTTCAATTTGGAATTTTATCAATATCCTCAAAACCTTATGTGTGATTATTGTTTTGAAATGCTGTGTACGTATCTACTTAAACTGTACTGCCCAAATAAGTCGGCTTTAACTTGTACTGCATATAAATGTATATTGGTACATATGATACCCTTGTAATGATTTCACACAGGTACAATGCGAGTCTGTAGGCACTCATGTAAGAGTTGAGGCAATAGTAATGACACTGTATAGGCCTACTTTTAATTGGCTGCGTAAAGAAGAGCAAATAAAATGAACTGATTAGAAACCATGATGACCTTTTATTTGATCATAGAACTGCCAGTTCAGGGGCATCACAGACTAATTCCAACGATCTTAAAAGTTTTGAATATAAATCAATCATAATTCATTATCAGATCATGTCTGTACTGCATCTGTTTTTTTTTTTATAATTTTGCCGAGACTTTTAAACGGTGTCTTCGAGTTTTATGAAAAATGTACAACAATCTGACAGCTGGCGGCGCGGTTGAGAAACGAAATTTGTATGATGCAATACCGGAGAAAACATTCAAACTGGTATCTGTGGCACGACTGTTCATGAACAAAGAGCTACGTGTGCGTGCACCGCGTACCGGGGAACGATCTGTGTTCCGGTTCTACTGTGCCGCATTATCACTTATCATGTGTTCCTGTCTTCATGGTTTACAGTAATGCCGGAATCGTACGTCATTGATGAATGTTTTAAAAATTCTGCGAAAGAACCGTGATTGAAATTCTTGGAGTTTCCGAAGAAGGAGAACATTCCTCAAGCTCGTGCTGTTGTCCGCGGCTACGCGTGCTACGCTTGCCGCGCTCGGACTGTCGTATTTCCTCTCCACGGTAATACATCACAAAAATCAATGGTGTGTCAGTTCTGTCGGATTGAATAGAAAGGTTGCAAAGTAGTTTTTATTGAACACATAAAATTTGAAAAAAAATTAACCCATTAATTTAACCCCTGCAATCGACACCAAAATGATCTCACTGTGGGTGTATCATTGCCAAGCAGAAAAAGATCAACATAGCATACATTTCTCGATAAATTTGAGCCCTCACGTCACGCACACAATGAATTTTCAACCCGTGCGCAAAAGACTCATTTTCGAAAATTCGGTAGTTTGTCTGAGAGTCTACTTTTGTTTTGAAATATTTACATTTTTAATTAAACTGGTCTCCTCCAATAGTTCGGTTTTTAGTTGAACTGCATACCTTATTTGTCAAATAATACTCTTGCACACAAGCATACGCCTGCAATGTGAGTCTGTGGGCACTTATGTAAGAGTTGGGGTGGGAGGCAGAAGCCAATTCTGAACAAATTCTTTCCTCCTTCCCTCCATGACTTGGCTGACCGTTATTTAACCCAAGAACTGCCAGTTCAGGGCCATTAACGCGCGATCAACTAATGTATTTTACATACAGCCTGGTTGAGAGAAGAGAAATCTCAAAATAATAGAAATAACAAGGAACAGCGACTTACATATTTTCTGCCGTTTTGAAATTAATTTTATGGCCCTATTATGATACAGACTGTAGATCTCTGCCATGCACGTAGACCAAACGGCACCTTTGCATTTCAACTGAAATCTTTGTTTTGGAAGATGATGTTTTGTAGTGTGGATCGACGACCTTTAATTTAGTGGCAGTATCAGTAAACTGCCTGGAATCGAAAGAATTTTTTGTCATGTACAAATGTTCCTGTAATTCACATTTGTATGAAACAGGAAATGTAAGGACACAATATTCTCACAAGCTGAAGCAAGTACTATGTGAATCAAGGTGTAATTCGTGTGTCGTTCAACTGCCTTGAACTTCTTTATGTATGTAGGGGCCTAAAAGCGCGCATGAGTAGGCATAATCCCTGTCGATGAGATAATTGGCAGACAGTGAACATGAAATACGTATGGAGACTGTGTATTAGGGCTAAAAATAAAAACGCTATTTTTACTTGTCTAAGATACAGGTTCCTAGGTTCCTCTAGCTGGCTGATTAAGCCCAGAGATGTTCCTTTGCTGAGAAATTCCCATCAGTAGCACATCCTTATCCTGTACTTTCCCCTCTGTGACACTGTTTCCCCATAATTGTTTGACTTTGATTTTTAAGGGAATACTATTCTGCAGTAGATCCTAACATGATATTTCCCACTTTTAAAAGACATGACGTCTTCACTTAATAAAATAACCAAGTTTGCCGTTGTCCCAGACTCTATCGTGCCGCATCACAGCAGTTACAGACTTACCAGTTGCTGTTGGCCGCTCGGCTGGGCCACATAGGCAGGTAGAGTGTAAGTAGTGGTCATTGTCGTGACAGCAGTTCCCTCTCAGATCTGCGTAAGAGAGGTGTAAAACAGTCTGTTATTAAAGGTATAGGTAATATTTGTTCACATTGCAAAGAATTCAAAACTGACAGATATGAATCAGAGTAGGCACGACAGTTTATTTCCTGCTTTTGATTTCCTCTAGCACATCATAGCCAGAGCTGCTCCGACAAAGCTTCGTCTCATCCCAAGATTCTCTTTGTTTTCCTTTCCCTGAAGGCTCATACAATCTTAACTTGTCCACTGCCCAATGGTTTATGAGACAGTAAAATAGAATGGTTTGTGAAAAATCAGACCTTGTCAACAAACTAAGCTCACGCTAGCGTGTGTTATTTGTCAGTGTAGGCAGTATTTTCTCACGTTTCAAAGAACTCAAAACTGACAGAAGTGAATCAGAGTGGGCAAAACAGTTTATTTCCTGCTTGTGATTTCCTCTATTACATATAGCCAGGGCTGTTCCGAGAAATTTTCATGTTGCATCCCCAGATTCTCTTTAGTTTTCTCTCCCTGAAAGCTCGTACGATCTTAACTTGTCCATTCTCCAATGGTTTGTGAGACAAAAAAGAAATAGTATGCAATGTGAAAAATCAGACCAAATCAGAAGAAACTAAGCTTGCGTCAGCGTAACCTATAGACAGTAGGCTAACAGCTTCCCTCAGCTTATCGCACTGAACAGCGCGCACGACGTTCAGTTATTGAATCAAATTGGTAAAGTTACACTTACCAACCGTATACAGTTAGGGGTATTTAGGCTCATTTAGCAGGGTACAAAAGCATTAAATATTACGGGGTCATAAATACTCATTAAAACCTCTGAAAGTTTGCGGCCACAGTGTTTCTGAAAACGCTATTGATGTGTAACTGCAGTCATGCAACCCAATTTACAACTGAGCTTGCCGGGGAAAAGAGTACGGAGACCAAGAAAAGTCGAGTTCCTTATATCATTTCTACACTGCCTTGACAAATCCTTAAGGTGAAAATGCACTTTTCTGTGTTTTTGCTTATTTCTATTCAGAAATTATAGTTTAGTAAATGCACTTCTGTACACATGCCAAGAGACACCCATCCTAAGAAACAAGTTGTCGCAAACCAAGACTCAGAACACACATCAAAATAAAGCTGGTGAGCACTAAGCAAACTATAACTGCAGGTGATTGTTGACTTTTTTTGTAATTACTGTCACCTCTGGGAACTATGGCTACATGTTGCAGGTATTACTTACCACCATTGGCTGGCCACCATTGGCTGGAAAATTTTTCATTGAGTACAACGTTACGTAAAAATCTATGTCCAGAGTCACATAAAGCATGAGAGGTGTCTGATATTTATGATGGAACATCCATCATAATTGTCGGACACTCTTCTGTACTGCCTTAAAGGTTCCTTAAGACCTCCATGGATAAACTGTTAATTTTTAAAGTATTCATGAGTATCACATGCTAACAAAAGTTAGGGAGTGTGAAAATGGAATAAAATTCCCTTTGTCGTGGTTAATTTTACATGTACATGTACAGGTATATGTACATGTACTTGTTCACTTTATACTGCATTGCGGTCACCCGTATGGGCAATGTCATTTCGCGAGTTACACTGAGTTCCTTACATTGGCATGAACATAGCAGTTTGAATTCTCCACACTAAAGACACTAATCTCGTGATTCGGGGCAAGCTTTTGCTTTGTTGTATACATAAGAGACGCCTTGCACTAATACACTGGTTTCAGTGGATTAGAAGCCTTGGCAAGCAGGAACCAATCCATTTCAGAGATCGTTGATCGCCTTGCACTAATACACTGTTTTCAGTGGATTAGAAGCCTTGGCAAACAGGAACCAATCCATTTCAGAGATCGTTGTCGCTCTGCAAAAGCTTGCTCCGAATCACGGGGTGTAGCAACGATGTATGTGTAGGAATTCAAATTGTTGTGTGTATGAGCAATCAGATAACTCAATGTACCAGATTTTCTTCAACGTTAACTCACAAAAGGCTTATTGCATGTTGGTGTCGTGGTTCAATATGGCACCACGACCCATACACACGAGTACATTGAGCGAAATAGCCCGGGAAGACTTGGAAGCATTTCTTACCCTTTGTAGTTGATGTCTAACACACTATACGATTGGCCTGAAGTCTCCGAACTGGACCCAAGACAAGCATTGACGCACTGACGGCGTGCGACAACGTCCTCTCAAATGAACGTCAAAGATACGTAAATGCTCTATGTTGATGAAATACTCTCCCGGGTGGGGCCTATCATAGGTAAATTAATCTATATTTTACTAGTTATCACCATAATCATTCAGTTATCCCGACATTGAAAGCAGTTTAATATTATTAAGTTTGGTTAAAAAGCAAGAAGTTTCAAGCAACCGGTTGCAAAATTCAGGCACAAAGGTTTAAAAGAGCGTTCGTTGAAACTGACATGAATGAAAAACAAGAATTTAGATTAGTTTACGCAGAACAAAGATTTTGATCAACTTTTCTGAACCATGCAGTACGTGAATGCGTCACTGGATGAAATAATTACTGCAGTTAACTCGATCAAAAACCGGTACAAACATTATGATATGATAGAAATAAGGTTACCGGGTTACTAGGGAGCAAGAGCCCGTGTGGGCGGCTACCTAACACAGTGTGGGCCTTATCGGTGCAGGTCATGCTCGCCCCAATGATGGAGATAACAAACAAACAAGGTCTGTTTTTTCACATAACATTCTATTTTACAGACTTACCAGTGTTACTGTTGGCCGCTCGGCTGGGCCACATAGGCAGGTAGAGTGTAAGTAGTGGTCATTGTCGTAACAGCAGTTCCCCTTTTAGATCTGCGTAAGAGAGGTGTAAAACAGTCTGTTATTAAAGGTATAGGTAATATTTGTTCACATTGCAAAGAATTCAAAACTGACAGATATGAATCAGAGTAGGCACAACAGTTTATTTCCGGCTTTTGATTTCCTCTATCACATCATAGCCAGAGCTGCTCCGACAAAGCTTCGTCTCATCCCAAGATTCTCTTTAGTTTCCTTTCCCTGAAGGCTCATGCAATCTTAACTTGTCCACTGTCCAATGGTTTATGAGACAGTCGCTGCCGCTGCTGCGGCCCTGGGTTAGTTTAGCGCTTACTCCAATTGAAGTTGAGGACCCAGGTAACGAAACAACCCTTCCAATCACTTGAATGTACATCAGAGGTGGCAACAAGTCATTTTTGCAAGTCCAAATCAGGCCACAAGTCATTATATGCAAGTCCAAAACAAGTCACATATCATTTGGTCACAGGGCAAGTCAAGTCACAAGTCATTTGGTCTAAACACAAGTCAAATTACAAGTCTCTTTGTCCAAGTACAAGTCAGGTTGCATTTTGTTTTGTCTAGCTGCAATAAGCATAAAGAACTAGGCGTCAACTTGCAAGTTACAAGTTATAACAAATATGGGGCCGGTCGAGTAGCGTCTGACTTTGGTCGGTAACAAGTCATTTTTTACAAGTCCAACTCAAGTCACAAGTCAAGTATACCCAGCAAGAAATGAGACCGAGGGGTACCCCCCAACATGTCCAATCCCTATACACATTCCAGACTATTGTTACTTAACACATCCCCCAGGATGTCTGAAAGGAATTCCCCAGATTCCTGCGAGACAATGACCAACACTTAGCATGGGGGGTTCTCTCCGTCTCATACCTTGCTGCATATGTAGACAAGTCACAAAAAAGCGACTCGAGTCCAAATCACGTGACTCCAGTCAGCAACTCTGCTGTGCATTGTATTTGTTGACTAATGTTGAATAAATTGTATGTCCTGTACCGAAAATTTTTTTGCCAAGGATTACTTCCTATACAGGTTCATTGTTTAACTTTAACAGAGACTAATTGACACTCAGTCACAATAGGCAGTATATTTCCCCCAAAGATTACCCGCACCCGGACCCCTTAGCCTTGATGTCGCTCTTTGTGGTTTCTCGTCTAGAGAAGAACCTTAGGTTGGGAAGATTGACTCTGCCACTAATAATGCTGGATTTGATCCCATCAATTTAGGCCTGGGGATGCCGGCCACAGTATGTACTACGATTAAAAATAGAAACGCTATTTTTACGTGTCCGAAATTCCAGGATTTTTAGATCTAAAAATGCCCCCCATTCATCCCTTGTAGCAGTGAAGGCTGAAGACACGAGGAATTGAACAAATTTTCCGCCGGATCAACTGAGGCCTGTCACAAGTTCCTGGGTCTGACTAGTTGGCTGACCCAACTGAGTATCTTCCCGAGTTAAGAAATTTCTACGAACAACACTTCCTGTACTGTCCTGCGGATGAAATCATTTCCTTGCAGTCGTTTGACTTTGATCTTACAGAGAACTTAACCCCGCAGTTGACATCTGGATAGGCTTTAAAGTTAATATTGCTTCACAAATAGAACATTTTCTCAGACGTCTACAAACTTCAAATAACGTGTCACTTTCTTCAGTAGAACACATACCGGTACTTTGTTTTGCGTTTTCAGTTAATTAAATACAGATCAAGTTGCAGGTTTCCCAAACTTCCTCATGCTGCATAATCTCAGCACGAGCTAGGTACTGTCAACAGAGTTTAAGTTGCTGTTGGCCATTGGACTGGATCGCAGTTTCGTATCCAGATGGAGGGTTAGCATTGGTCATCCTGACAACGAGTCTCTTTGGTTCTGCTTAATCAAGATGTGAAACAATCAGTTATTAGTCTGTTTGTGTAGTATTTCCTCATATTTCAATGTCAGGATAACCCGAGAATAATAATTGGTTTTCCTACGTGGAAGGAGCAAACTTGCACAAGTTCACGGAACATTGCCAGAGAAAGAAAGTTCGCAGTAACCAGGTCAAATATAGAAATTAAAATGTATTTTCAGTTTATTTCCTAGACACAAATCACAATTTAACGTAATCAAACTGACAGGTGCACGCTAATCAAACCGATAGATGCACGCTGTTTTAAGAAAGGCAATTTGTTAATCAAACAAATACCCACTTTGTGTCGCCAGTAAATTAGCATTTTGTTAATCAGTTATCAATATATGTAAACACATAACATCGCTAGTAAATTAACAGAATTGTTTACTAGACACCCGACGTTCGTCACCGATGATGCCGTTTCTGAATTAAATAAGTTTACAAGTATACACGTGGCAGGTCTACATACCTTACGTTATGGGAGCAATTGTTTACTATTCAGTGATGTGGATGGTCTCTTTTCACATTTTTTTGACTCCCATCAGTTGGCCATCTATGTAAATCATTATTGTACATTTAGTGATTCAATTCGACGTTAAGCAGTGCAAAAATATCTGTTGCAATTTTTACACATGTTTTGTTTCAAGTTGTCGATAGAAAGAATTACATTATTCAAATTTGCAATCTATAATGGCAGTCTGCCATTCATACCTTCTTCCCCTGCAAGACGGTAAAACTTCACATGGCTGACAAGCCATGGATATCACGTGCAATTAAGGCCCTGATCTTGAAACGTCAAAGGGCATTTCACATGGGCAAAGACACATTGTGGAAAAATATACGCAACAAAATTAGGAGAGAAATCAAATTTGCCAAGAAAAACTATTATCATGGAAGAATACAGCGATTGAAAAATGCAGATCCGGCATCTTGGCACAAGCACGTCAAAATAATGACTAGAAGTGCCAAAGCTCAACCCTGCATTGATATCCCAACGCCACCTGGTCATCAATACAGTGATCAACAGAAGGCAGAAATCATCAATGAACATTTTATTGCTGTTGCCAGTGATCTGCCTTGTTTAGTGACATCCGACTTGCCTGCATTCCTTCCAGCACCTCATCCTTGCCCAGTTGTACAACCATGGGATGTGTACAGAGAGTTGAGTAAAACACAAATCAACAAAAGTGGTGGACCAGATGGCAC